AAATTTTAAATTATTTATTAGATCTTGAACATAGCTCAAGCTTTATGCTAAGCAAGAATCGGCAATGATTCAGAAAAAGTGTCAAATAAAATTTAAAAAAAAAAAAACAACTTAATATTGAGAGTTGGATAGTACAGTACAGAGAATATAAATATTTAGTATAGTATATATAGTTTATAGCATACTGTTTTATAGTTCGAATTGCACTGCGAGGAAACATTCAATTCTAAAAGACAGATTTCTTTATCAATTATAGCTCTAGCTGTCAGTTTTCTCAAATCTTTAACTATTTAATATCATATGGGTTTCAAGATTTACTAATAATAATCCATTGAACGTATTTATTTAAAGAAAATATTATACTTTTTTTCTTTTGAATTGCATTTTTGAAGCCATTAACAGGCATAGAGAAACTCAAATTGTCGATTTTGCGCCAGATGTTGGCAGACATATTCGTGCAGACTGTCAAAAGACATGCAGATAAATCGTTTGCCCAGTTTTGACATTCAAATTCAATATTTCATGCATTTCGTTTTTATTGACAAACTGCCATGAGTTTAGCTGCAACTGAACAGATGTGCAAACTATGCCATCAATTTATGTTCTGCTCTTCAAATAAAAATCGCTGGAGAGAGGCGAACCCATTGAATCATCGCATATTGACTCGTAGTAAACATACTTCTTCATAAATACATGCACATGAATATACATTTCTGGAAACTTTGGGCTATTTCAGCAGTAATGTTGAAATTGCCTGACGAATTAACTGACCATTTAGATAATTAGGCATCAATAATCAGCAAAGACGTGCATAGGTAAGGTACAGGTACAGACCTGTTACAAAACCAAATGGAGTTTTGTTGCTTGGTCAACTCTTCACAATGTCATCGTTGTAGTTTTCCAGTCGTAGTAATTAAGCCAACATCGAATTAGGCCATCAATCATTGCATTGAGTTATGACTGGGCATAAATTTCAAAAAGGCTTGCCAAAACTTAAATATGCATTGAAGCTTAAGTTGTGCAACCAGAGCCCGAAAATGCGACGGCATTTAAATACAAAGTGTCGGATAAATCAATGAAATTGAAAAGCAAATTGAATTTTCTGACTGCTGTCGACTGAGAAGAGTAGAGAAGTCGGCGCAGACGGAACGGAAATTGCATTTGGCTAAGGCGGCACTTAGAAATAAACACGAGTGTGAGCACAAATACGAGTACATACTAGTGTATAGACTTCAGAATGCAGAGCAGACGGACTGGTGGGCGTTAGCAGCAAGTGACATTGAAATATTTATATAATATAAGTATTTGATTGATTAATCAATACGTTCAGCTTGAGCTGTGCACAGCCTTTAAAGCTAATCACTCTTCATTGACTTAAAGGATAATTTTCGTATCGAAAATTTTAGCGCCATGTGATAAGTTAGATATAATTTATGGCTTCGAATTTCAAAGCGATTTCGATGCTGTTAGCGGTGGTCCGCACGATAAATTTACAGTTTCCAAAACGTTATTAATTGCTAATTAACGATGAATATGATTAATGTAGCTTTGAATACTCACACATACCATATATACTATATACCTACATAAGGTATCTGCTTCCATGGCGCAGCAAGCGCCGTCAGTCACGTGTGACTTTCTTTCATACACATATATCTCAGCATGAAACTGCCGAGTAATGTAATTACATATATACGCTCATACCCAATACATTTTGTACTATAGCCAAACTATTCATCATATCGTGCTAGTCGGCGTGTCGGTCGGCGAAACGTGGCGTATACGCAATGTGCATACTAGAATGTATGTATATGTTTATGGGCTATAACTAGCTGTGCTTGCAAGAAAGGTTAACTAATTAACATGTCAAAGCCATCTATAACGTTTTGGCCCCGCAAACCACTCTAGCTCGCCACAATATCTTCGCGTTGAGGCGTAAATCCAGCCTTATTACGCCTTAACAATCGCAAGCTTTGGGCACATTATAAAATATCCAAGCACATTTGCCGGCCCATAACATTTACACATGCAAGCAAGTATGTATATGTATGTATATCTATTTTGATTAATCCTTTGTCAATGACTTTGGGAGAAAACCGAATTAGTTCCTACCGCCCGTTTGGTTGCCGGTTGCTGTGCCCAGGCAGCCATAAAACAAAACGGTTGTTTGCACACATTCAACATTTTCAACTGACCTTAATTATATCTAAAAACCCAAGTTGGCACAAAATGAGGCATACCATTTAATTATGTCATAAACAAGATTAATACACAAAGTCCTTTAAAACTGCAAGGGAATGTCTTGGCATGTGTTCAATTTGCCAAGTCTGTAAACTACTAATTTCAGCCATACGAGCATTTTTATGGTCTAAACTATATGAAAATATGTAGTATACCGTATATATTATACCCTCTGCGGCTCAGTATTTAACTGAACTTAATATTAAATCAAATTTGTTTTTATCATATTTGTTAGTTTATTATAGGCTGTACCCAAAGGGTAAAAGGCTATACTAGTTTTGTGCGAATGTATGTCACATACGGAAGAAGACGTGGCAGACAAAGTACATATATTCTTGATCAGGCCATTCGTTATAATCATGTCCGTCTGTCTGTCCGTCTGTATGAACGCAAGGATCTCAGAAAGTAGAAGAGCTAGAATAACCAAACTTGGTGTCCAGATTCTCCTAAGTCCGAGAAAGTATGAGTTTGAGTTTTTTTTTTTTTTTTTTTTTTTTTTTTTGAGGCACCCCTTCCATCTGCCCTGCTATTACTGGTTTTCCATAACTCTCAAATTTGGTAGTCACATCCAATTAGTGATTATGAGTCCTTGTGCCAAGTTCCATTATAATAGGTTGATTTAACAGGAAGTTATAGCCATATAAATCATCTTGTTCCAACACTGCCTGCGGCTGTTGTTTTGTTTTTGTTGCTGCTTTGCAGAGGCACTCGAGACATACACAGACACACATAAACAAGCATAATTAGTATACACATATGTGCAGAGTATTTCAAAGTCAACACACCCGACTTTAGCTTCTCCACTTGTTTTTTTGTGGAGTGGCACAGGGTATTTAAGAGTTGAGCTCGCTCGACTTTAGCATTTCTGTTTATAACAGTTTGGTGAAGCTTAAATACATAAATTATTACTATTTTGATTTCGGTAACTATTTATGTCCGCACAATAAAGTCTGATAGACCGATTATACTACTGATCTATTGGTCAACACCATGAAGACTTTTTTGGAACTCGATATAGCCATGTCCGTCTGTATGAGCTCAAGGATCTCAGGAAGTTCAAGAGCTAGATTAACCAAACTTGGTTCAATTTTGGCATTTACATCCAGTTAGTGCTTATGTGTTCGTATGCCAAGTTTCATCATGATTGGTCCATTCTGAAGAAAATTATAGCCATAAATAAAATCGCTGCACACGCTCTGCTTGTAGCTCTCCCCGCAGCTGTTGTTGTTGTTGCTGCTTTGGTTTAACTTTGTGCTACATATGTACATACACGCATAATACATAAACATATCTTCTATGTATGTATTAATTTTCGTTATTAATTTAATTAATTAATTCCATTTTTTTTAAACAATTTAATTTTTTTTATTTTTCCTTTTTTGTGGAGAGTATTTTACTGTCGGGTATTTATGCTCAACTGTAGCGTTCTCTCTTGTTTTTTCTTTTAATTTCTCAAAGATTTTAAATGCAAATGTGTATATCTGAATCACAAAAACAACACAGGTTCATGTTAATTCATGGCTATAAGTTCATTGTTAATTGAGTTTTTAAGATAAGCTTGCCTCATAAACGAATACGCCTTACAATAATGCTAACGTTAAAATCGAAATGAAAAGAGCTAGCGGATAAATAGATGGTGCCTAAGAGAATCACAAAACAGAGAACGCTACAGTCGAGCAAGCCCGACAGTGAAATACCCTGTACCCAACTAAACTTCCGACACTGAGGTATTTGCGCCGCTAGCAGAAGCATAAGGACGAAGAGCGAACTTGATGCTGCAGCGTGTAGGCGTAGTACCGGAGTGAAATTGTTTCGCTTATTTCTTAGATTTAACCGATTCAGACCGATGGAATTTGAAACAAAAGTAGAGAGTTATATATAAATTATGTGTGTGCAAGGTTTGGTCAATGTCGCTTCTGAAATGTGAACGGAATTGACGAAATTCTGTAGCGGGGGAACGGGGGGAAAATTCAAAAAAGTAAAATAAACTCGTATAGACTAGGGACTAGAAGCGTCTGCATACCAAGTTTGGCCTTTGTACGCTCATCCGCTTTGTACGCTTCATCCAGACAGACGGACAGACGGACGGACGGACATTTCTAGATCGATTTCACTCGTCATGCTGATTCAGAATATATATACTTTATGGGGTCGACGATGCTTCCTTCTGCCTGTTACATACTTTGCACAAACCTAATACACCCTTTTTACCCTACCGGTACAGGGTATAGAAAAACGTAATCTAGTACTGTTCCGGACTTAGGAGGAAATTTTGCTTAGAAACTTGGGTACCTCTAGCTCTTATACTTTCGGAGATGCTGGCATTCTTACAGACAAACAAATCGTTTTGTTATGGTAATCCAGAATACATATGCTTTGTAGATTCTACCAAACTTTCTCCTGCGTGTGAAGCTGAGCAATGCACATATGTTTTTGTAAAATATATACATCATTTAATTTTTGTAGCAAGACGATTTGCGCTGAATTTTTCTTTTGTTTCCGGTTATTCCATCTGCTCAATATGCCATCTTGTTTTAAGCACATGCTAGCAGTTACGCCAAATGTTTATGACGGACAAGAAAAAGGTATCAAGCTTTTCTAATCTTTGTACATCGTCTTGCAAACGTTGCACGAGTGTTTATGGGATAAGTCAATCCCCAGGCGGCGAACCAGTCCGACAATTATATTCCAGACGAAGCGGGCCGGTGAGCGGAATGAAGTATTACTTCTTAATGGTGCTAAATAAATAACAAATAAAATTAATAGTTTCAATCTAAAGAAGAAGCTTTTACTGCTTTAATATCTATTATATTTACAAAATTGTTTTGTTGGACACTGAAATTTCCCTCAAACTACTTTCCCCTTGTGCCGAAGCCAGGTAGCTTTTTGGCATCAAGGTCAGCTGAAGTCCTACTCCGTGGCGGCCGGGTGACGATGCCGCAGCTGCAAGCCATACTTGTGATTCTTGTGCTTATAAACGCCATTCTTGCCACGCTTGCGTATGCAGCGATGATTGCGGCCCATGACCTCATATGGTCGACACCGTCGTCCACTACTGAGCCGACGACCCGGCAGAAAAACGTACTTTCTCGGTCTATTGTGTGCATAAAGCTTTGTATCTGGCCCATTGGATTTATCGGAGCTGCCATGAGCGCCAGGCCTATTGGAACCGTGATGGTGCTGGTTGTTTGAATGTCGCGGTTCAAGCGGCTCCTCCAAGTTGTATGTAGCTTTATCGCTTCCGGCTTTGAGCACCTTATTACCAGCCAGGATATTAAAACCGACTGGAGCTCGGTGTGAACGTCGATGCGCGGCTCTTGGCTTCTCCGCGCAACCGAAAGGAGTAAGTATCTCGTTATCTTTACATTTGATCTTATCCATAAAACCAGCCTTCTTCTTTGCATCATCCAGATTCTCATCATCCCAAACACGATTCACCACACTATCAAGAAGTTCATCCCGATTAACACATCCCTTGTTCTGGGTCATCACTTCGTCAGGCTCACAATTATAAACGATCACGTCATTTGTCTCATTGGCGCTCTGTGAAGGTTTACGGGTGGTCGCGTCATCTGGGTGGCTCTCGGTCTTAGGTGCATCTTCTGAAGGTTTATGGGTTGTCGCGCCATCTGGGTGGGTCTCGGTCTTAGGTGCATCGTCTGAAGACTTAGGGGTGGTCGGGTCATCTGTGTGGGCATCGGTCTTAGGTTCATCTCCTGCAGGATTAAGGGTGGTCGGATCATTTGTGGGGCCATCGGTCTTATTTTCATCCTGTGAAAATGACTGTATAATTCCGCCAAGTAGTAGAAGACCTAATAGGCTCCAATTCGATCTCATTTCGCTGTACATATAGTAGAGTCTAAATATTGAGCAACAGGTTTTTATACAGTTTGGTGAGAATCTGACATGGCAAGCCATCGCAATGGATTGGTTGCGGTTATGTCACGAGCGATTAAAGACCCATACGCCGCAGTCGATTTTTGTTGGCATCATTGAAACTGAGATTATAAATCAAAGTGCTCGTAATGTATAGGTATGTGTAATATCGCCCAAATTACTATTCACATAAGATATTTTAAAAAATTGAAGCAATATACGATTACAATGAAAAAGTGACACGCTTTTTTTGATCGTACCACTCGCATTATTTTTTTAAAGGGATTGATGGGGAAGGATTTGTCTATAAGTTTGAGGCATAAGAATATCACTTTGCCGACTATTCGTCACACGCCATACGCGTTTTTATCGCTGACATTTTGTATACTATATATACCGAATATAATATTTTATATATCATACATATATGTACATAATTTTATTACACCATGTATCCATAGGGCAAAAAGAGTATATTAGGCTTGTGAAAAGTATGTAACAGGCAGAAGGAAGCATCGTCGACCCCATAAAGTATATATATTCTGAATCAGCATGACGAGAGAAATCGATCTAGAAATGTCCGTCCGTCTGTCTCGATGAACCCCAGGATTTCGGAAACGGCTGAGCTTTTTTGAATTGCCCCAAGAAACTAGCGAAACAATTTCACTCCGGTACTACGCCTACAAGCTGCAGCATCAAGTTCACTCTTCTTCGTCCTTATGCTCCTGCTAGTGGCGCATATACCTCAGTGTCGGGAGTTTAGTTGGGTACAGGGTATTTCACTACCGGGCTTGCTCGACTGTAGCGTTCTCTCTTGTTTTAAAATATTGTACATACATATTTTATTTAGTACATCAACAATAATTCTGTCGATTATATAACTTAATATAATATTTTAAACTCAACTTAAGAGATAAGAAAGCCTAACACAAAGCTGTACAATAACGTCTATTAATGCCTCCGACACGTTGGGGGAATTTTATTTCCCAGTTGGCCAGCTATGCCCCAATTCACAGCCATAAGTGGTCAGAGACATTATAGACCTAAAAAACTATACAAAAAGTAAGTAGATGAGGAAAATTAATTATATTTAAGAACTAATTAGAAAAAGTAAGAAGTAGAAAGAGAAAGAGCAAAAGAGAAAAAGAAAGAAGGAAAGAGAGATAGAGAAACAGGGAAAGAGAAAGGTGGAAAGAGAGAGACAAATATTTCCTTGTTGGTCTACAAGGAACTGAAAAATTAAGGCGACCTAAGAGGGCAGAGGAGTCAGCCTCACCGATAACCAACTTGTGGAGAAAAACTACTCCAAGAACCGTCCTACGATTTACTAAGGAAGGAAGGTTTGTAAGCATCAGTCTACTAGAGCACGATGGCAAGCAGAGATTGGGATCCCAGCTTAAACCACGTAGAGCAAAAAGAAGGAATTGCTTCTGAATAGACTCAATACTTTCCTGATGCTTTATATACTGCGGAGACCAATCGCATGATCAGTATTCAAGCTCAGGGCGTACTAGAGCAGTGTAAAGAAGCTTAGTGGTATAAGGGTCATTAAATTCCTTGGACCAACGTTTAATGAATCCAAGTAATCCCTTGGCCTTATTGGCAATACTGGATATGTGAAGGTTAAAGTTCCATTTGGAATCAAAAAGAACCCCAAGGTCTTCAACAGTCGATATACATTACAATATATACTTGTACCCGTGCTGACGTACGAACCGTCCTTTTATTAAAAACTCACGGTGTGTTGTAAGGCAGCAGCGTGTGGAACTTGATTTCTATTGGACAATATCTATAATTAGAATTGTCCATATGCTTCGTTTATAAGGCGCCGCATGAGAACGTGTAATTCTATTGGTTAGCCTGTCTTAAACAAACACTGTGTTGTATGCAGCTGTGGAAGCCGCTGCGCGATGCTTGTCGCTTTATACACTTAAGCCGCAATGTGGATGCAGGCGTGGGAACGTGTTTACATATTGCATGGTGTGCGGTCTCCGTTGGTCGCTTAGGCAGACGTGGGTTACTTGTACTAGTCCTTCAACGCTGTCGTATGTTCGTGCCTGAACAATCAGCAATTAGGACAAACTGTTATATGCACGTTTATATATGAACATGTACTTATATACTAATGGATCATCTTTCACTTAAACATAGATTTCATAAATTTGGCTTGTATTTATCTATAACTTCGAAATATTTAAGAAATATACCAAAACGTTTGTTACCAATCACAGGGAACATGGCGATGTTAATATCGTTCTTCAATCAATAGATTCGAGTTGGAAGTTTGGCTTGAAATTTTTCTCAGTGAATCACTTTGGGGGTTCCCATCAACAGTGTGTATTGTTACTTTGTTGTGCAATCTCAATTTCCCACAATAAAATTAATGTTTTACGTAGCCAATTCCGAATCGTTTATTTCACATAAAAATGCGATAAATAAACGACGCGTCCTGTGCTCCACCGCCAAGGAAAGTCGAAAGTTGCAAGTTTCAGACCATGGCTGAATGAGTGGAGAAGTTTCAGTAAGAGGCGAAGGACGTCGACGAGAAGGAAGGCAGGATATGCGGCATTGCGGGTGTTGTTATTGTTGCCGTGTTGTGCACCTACAGCAGCATCGTGTATTTATAGTGCAAACAATGCAAAGGATGTTGCGCAAGGACATACGCGTTGGATTAAAGCAGTACGTAGTAAATGGCGGCGAAGGCGCCAAAGGACGAGCATCTACGGCATCAGAGCTTAAACAAAGCACTGCTCTAGGATGAACGAAAAAATGAGGAAAAGCCCTGCATTGGAACAAAGACAAAAGCTGCCACTGCGGGACTGTCAGCGACAACAACAACAACAGCAAAAGCAATAACAATACCAGCCACGTGCTACTACGAAAAATCCTTGCTATCCTGACTCTGCAATGCTGCTTCTCGTTTTTGTACATAGCTGTTGTTAAAATTTTCATGCTAATGGCCGCACGAAGCAGGCAGCGGTGGCTTTTAACCCTTGGCAAGGGTTATGCATATGTGTGTGTCTCGGTGTATATGTGTATGTAACGGGTCATTGTGCTTCCATTTTGGTCGCACCTTTACGCGCAGCTTATTTTCTTTCACTGTCCTTTGCAAATTTAATTTCAACTTATGTACCCATACACACACGCAAAAGGACGCAAGGAAGACAGGAAGGCCACACAAAAGGGCAACCAAAAGGAAATGGCTTTAATTAAGGATATCTTGTGAAATGTTTGCTCATATTTATAACATCCCAAGCAGCCGGCATCGAGTGCTGCCAAAAAGAAGAGAACGAAAAGCTAGAAAAAGGTGCGCAATCAAAAGCAGAAGATTGTTAGAAAATAAAATCGAAGAAAATACACCACAGCCCGGGAATTGGGTTGGGACGAGCGTGTAATACGCCTGGCTCGTATTTCCATCAATAGGCGCCACCTGACAGCGGCACCTCACGGATGCTAGTGACGCCGATCGGCCCACTCTGAGCCTTGCCATTTCCTTTCTTTTTTGCTAGGATTCCTGCATTGACTATTTGCCATGTTGGCTGCTTCATTTGCTTGTTTGTCTGACTAGCTGCCTGGCTGTCTGGTTGTCTGTCTGGCTGCTGGACTGCTTATTCGTTAGCCATTCTGTTTCTTTGTTTGTTTGTTGCCTGCGCTTTTGGGTACTTTGCAAAGGTAATAAGATAAAAGCTTAAGTGCCATTTGGGCCAAGTTACTTAATTGCGTGAATGGCAGCTTTGATGGGCTTCTTTGCCTTTTTTCTGGAGCAGATTGAATTTATCTGGTATTTGGCAGGCAAATGCAGGCAAATTACATTTTATAATTAGCAAGTGCATATGCTACCAGTCCCTCTCTATTCCCCTGTTCGCCCTGTTGGTCATTCTTCCTCTCAGCCTCCACCACCTCTACGGCTACTTAAGTGCAACTCATGTTTTATTCAGCACACACAAACAAACGAACATACTATATACTATACACGACAATGACAAGTAAATTTTGTCAAGTGGCAGTCGGTGAAGCTCATAAAATTCATGCAAAACACTTTGCTATTCATATATTGTAACAAGTTGTCTTTACTCTCCTGCTCTCTGTGCTGCCTCAGTGTTTGTGTAACTGTATGCCATGTCCTTTAGCCCAAGTGCTAAGTAAAAACAGCAACAATGGCAAACAAAAACAAACAACGACAAACTACAGGCAGCAACTGGCCATTGTTTTTGAAATCTACTACGCACTCCATGTGCTTTCAATGTTCGACTGTCCATAAAATATTGAATGTTTATGAATTTTAAGATACATTTACTTCATTTACATAATCTGTGTCAGTACAAAAGCAAAGATGAAAACGCTGGCAAGTAAGTTCTATTTGGCTAGCATAAACGTGGCCTTAGCCTCGGCTTAAGGCTTGAAGGTTGAACAGAAATCTCAGTACCTTTTACAAATTAAATCGCATGAGAACTTATTTAATAAACTCTATTTTTCAAAACAATTTTAGAAAAGGGGTAAATAATATCAACTATTTTCGAAAACACCTACACCCTCTCTTTTAGCAAGCAGAAGTTTTTTCAATCTTTCGACTTAATCCAAGAATACGCCACCGCATGGATGGCAAATATTCATCCTAACTGCCACCACCTTTTTTGGCAGCCCTGATAAGACAATGACAGAATTCTTAGAAACAAGGTACTAAACTCTACAAAATTACAATTTCTTTGTGTTTTAAGCACTTATGCTTCAAAGAAAAATTCCAAAGAGATTATTTAAAATCATATGAAATTGCAACGACGTCGGTTTCAATAAGAACACAACTGATAGAGCGATATATTTATATTTCTGCAATCAATTTGTTAGCTGCTTAAAGTCGGAAATGGCTTGCTTTTAAAAAAAAGGGGTATGTCGACATTAATATATATAGATTCACTAGTAAATATGTATACATATTTAAAGCCTGTATCCAAAGGGTAAAA